GGAGGTGTCACAGATGGAGAGAGAGACAAGAAAGAAGTAGAGAATTCAGAGCAACATGAAGACTTAAACCAGACATATGCTCTTTCTGTCTCTCTCACCTGTACTCACCAGATGGTCGGGACGTCTCACATCCATCCTAATCCGATTATGTTACAGAGATGAAAGAATTATTGTCCGATATCATCTTTCAGCTTTTATTTACATCTGTTTGTTGCTAGAAAATATTCTCATGACACGAGCCAGGTGCTTATTTATAGTTTGAAAGCCTCACTTGAATCCAAAATATATCCCCTTCCTTGCACTGTCTTACTTTGGATTTAGGCTACCTTCCAAATATTTTCATTAAAGTTCAATGGTCGACTGCAGCCCAGATTTAAGCACGTTGTTTACAAACAAGTATCTCTGAAATGAGCCAAAAGTGGCTAGATGATGATAGATGAAGCCAAATGCAAGGTTATGACAGGGACACTGGAGCACACTGGAGGGACAATTAAAACAAGAAAGCTACAGGTCAACCAGTCCCTATTCTATCATTTTGTATTGTCTGTATTGGTAATCAAGGAAAATCCCACACCCATTACTCCAGTTTCATCCATCCATCCATCCATTCTCTGCTGCTTTTCAGAGTTGCGGGGGAGACTGTGGAGCCTATCCCAGCTGTCTTAGGGCGAGAAGCAGGGTACACCGTGGACAGGTCGCCAGTCTGTCACAGGGTTTTGCACCGGGTCACTTTGAAAAAGATGTTCAGCTTGTAAAGGATGTGATGTGAAGTTTTCTGGGCAGAGGTCTTAAGCCTGCTTAAATACTATGTTTTATGTCTTCAGGTATTTTGAATTGTTATGGCTGACTTGTATCCTTCTCCCTGTTGGAAAACCGTTTTCCTCTTCTGGCTGACTTCCAAACATCTTCATACAAACTCTGCTGTTACTTGGACAGACCACTTGGTGCCATCAGAGAGCATTGGTCTGCATTTTATTCCTGCAGGGTCAGATAGGAAAAATACAAACACAGAGAAAGGGTTCATCAGTGTCAAGTGGCTTTCATGTCAGTTTTTACTGTGTGGGATGGCTTGCTGCTCCTTTCCACACTCCAACCAAGTCCAGGAGGATCTTCCATAAATCAGTGATGCTCTCAGAGCTCCCATTGTTTCCAGGTTTAACCGACTGTTTTCTTTAGTTCTTGAGATTCTCATTGGAAAATGATCTGGTACAATAGAAGATTTATCAAAGGGCAGGTGCCAGTAGGTGGGAGTTCTAGGCCACATGACAAAGTGTGGCCTTGCCTCCAGCTGCGATGTACCTAATTTAAGACAAGATGAAGTTGCAGATAAATCCTGTAACTGAAAGCTGCATTTTTATGTCTTAATACAATATGATACAAATAGAAGATACACCAACATAACTTCTTTAGATAAAGCATAACTAGTATGTTTATCTCTCTAAATGCAAGTCCTCTATTCATTACTGACACAAGGCACACCTTGCAGAGTTGAACTGTTAATTACAAACCTCTACCAGTGGTTTTTCATAATACAGACTGCTGTTGTCTTCTTGTCGAAGCATTGAATGTTCACATGCACACCTGAAAAAGAGAAGCATGCTTAATGGTCTGAGCACAGTTGTGTGAACATTGTGTCCTTGACTTTTTTCAGGTGTCTGATGAGCTGGAAGGCAAATCAGCCAGTCGGGATGTCAAAGAGCTTCTTAAACTGCTGGCAAACCCACATGTAAAGGTGAGTAAAGGATTTGCTTATTTTGTACTGAGCAGATTTTAACAAACTAAAACCACATATTCTCTTTGTGGAGGATTGTATTATTCCATCCAAAAAACAGCAAAGCATTTGGCAATTCTGGCTCTGGATCTTTGCTGTTTGCACAGCAGCCACATTAAAGCGTTACAATCATCGTGCTGTACACAAAATAACACGCCTGTTAGATCCAGGCCTTGTCTCGTTTTCTTGGCTGCCGTTGCTGACCTCGTTAGCCAGATGCAGACAGCTACAAAATAAATTTACACATTTTTATTTTCTAATGCATAACTGGGGCCATCCATCAGGGCCTCCAGGTGTCTCAGCCAGACAGAGCTGCCTTCACGACGGCAGGATAGAAGCAGAGTTGGACAGGCTCCGTTTTTAATGCGCTGTCGTCATGCTTGTTTGGGCTCTGCCAGAAACAACAGCTCTCTAGTTCTCCCCCAACATAGCACACACACACACACACACACACACACACACACACACACACACACACACACACACACACACACACAACAACACAACACACACACACAACACACACACACACACACACACACACACTTACAGTACATGCAAATATTTAATACCTATCAGTGTCAAACAGCAAGAATTCAAGAGATGGTGGTTCTCAAACATGGATTTTTCAATGTCTGAGCTGGTAATTATGATTCATTTCTAAATTCTCCAAACACATTAAGTAACGACATTAAGAACAACTACATTAATCTGTTCAAAGACACAAGTTTGGAGCATATGAACTGACAGGTGCTAGAGGTACAGACACACATATTTCACCAGGCAGCACATATTTTAGACATAGAATCAGCAACTCCACACACACCTCCATCAAACCGGTACTCATTTGGCTCATTACTATGTTTTTCCCCTGCACCTAACACATATAATTGCTGCTGTAGTTGCGCAGTGGTCTCTCAGCTCCAGTGCAGAATGGGGTCAGCCAAGCAATTCCCCACCAAACAATGGAAAATGTTCTTTCTGCTACTGCTTCCTCCATTGCTGGCTGGTGAATTTTGGCAGACGGTGTAGCAGCACAAGCCAAAGAAGACAAGCTGGAGAGGAGTGGCATTTTATCTCTGAAGTAGGATCAAAACCAACCATTTTTAAAGATTTCCTGGCTGTGAGATTTTCTTTACATGTGTTATTCATTTGGGATTCTCTTGATCGAAAGAAGTTATTATTTTTAGTTATAATAAGGTAATACAGACTCTTTGCCTTCCAAAGACTACTCACATAGCTCCAGTTGTGTCTCCTCCTCTCATCTGCTCCCAGTTAGCAACATCTTGAATGCTGTACTGCAGCATGCTCCCATGTCATAAAACACACTGCTTCTCTTCTCACCATATCCTTCTCTTTCTTCCCTGCTTCTCTTGCTCTCCACCCCTCTACTTTTGTCTGGCACTTTGGTTGGAAGATGTTTTTCTCACTTTTTTCTCCCCTCCTAAACCACGGAAAAAGCAGCACGCGTCCAGCTGCATCTTGGTCCGGACACGCGGTTGTTAAATACTTTGAAAAATGAATGTCTCAATGGCATCATTCTCGTCTGCGTCCCGTCTCTTTTTATGTCTGCTTGTGAAAGTGTGAAATATCTAAGGCAGCTGAGAACTTCATTACTTTGAGCCTGCCGCTGAACAGTGGAGAACATCGCTTTTGAGTCTTCACCACCTTACCCTGCAAAGCGTGGATTTTGTGGTGGTCACATTGCCCCCCCTCCCTTCCATTTGCAGCTCTTGCTGAGCAATGGTGCAGGGCGAGCCTGGGTTGCCTTTAATCAGAGAGATGTATGGAGGGAGAGCACGGGCCTAATGGCAATTAACGCTTGTTCATCTACAAGTTCTGGCCTTGAATGCTTTCAAATCCATCACCCAGCACATGAGGGAGACAACCCAATTCATAACCATCCTCCCTGCAGTCTGCAGTGTCTCTGTCCTGCTTAAAAAAGGAAGTGATAGATCGGACTCTTAATAGCATGCATGGCCATACTTTATTTAGCTAAGTGGACTGGGGTAAAGTTGAGGCCTTCGTGGCTTGACAGATAACCCTTGCCTGTTTTGTGTTTCCTCCCATAAATCCTATTTTCTCCTTTTTCTAGAGCCTCCTGTCTGTCCACGACGCAGTTGCCCAAAAGAAGTATGACCCCGAACTACCTCCGCTGCCTGAAGACATCGATGACGATGAAGATTCTGTGAAAATTATAAGATTGGTCAAGAACAAGGAGCCACTGGTAAGTAACTTAACAATCATGCTGTGTGCAGTATCTATCTGTCTCTACGCCTTAATTTTCATCTTTACAGTAATTTTAGGTCATTGCTGTTTGACTTGCACATTATAATGTCATAAAGGTAGAAATGCTGTTATAATGACTATTCTTCTTTTATAGGGAGCAACAATAAGACGTGATGAGAGCACAGGTGCCATCATTGTGGCCCGGATCATGAAGGGAGGGCCAGCTGACAGAAGTGGTTGGTTCCAGCCTTTTTCTCTCTTTTATAAGTTTGCCTGTGTGTGTGTGTGTGTGTGTGTGTGTGTGTGTGTGTGTGTGTGTGTGTACTCGATTCTACTCAGTTTTCTGTCATTTTCTGTCACTGTGTAGCACCTCAGTTTACATAGGGTCGTTATAGCAACTCATTTAAAAGTCCCATGATGTCATTTGTATGCAACACAAACCCAGCACACAACAGTGGACATGGAGGCGTTGGTATACCTGTCCGATCACACTGTTGGTTTTTCTGCACCCATTTCCCTGGATGCCGTGTTTCAAAAAGGGCAGTTTTGATGTTTGTGAAGGAATCACTCTCATGACTCATCAAGTGACGTAATTGACTGGCATCACATGGTGGCATGGAGTCTGTTGACGTCACAGTTTCAGATCAACTCAGGTTGCTCAAAACGACTGCTCTAGCAGGTATCAGGTGCTGCCATCTAATAGAAAACGTCTGTTTATGTGTGGCAGGCTTAATTCATGTAGGGGATGAACTGAAGGAGGTCAATGGAATCCCTGTGGACGACAAGAAACCAGAGGAAATCATTCGTATTCTGGTAAGTCTTGTCTTTCTATGGACGTTTGTGAGACTGAGGGTTTTTCAGCTCCACTCCCTTGGTACCAGCCTTTGTTTATAATGACAGAAACCTCCCCTTATCAACTCATCCACGACCCAGGCCTCCCATTGCCGTGTTGATGGGAAAGTCTGTCTTGGCCGATAGATCACATGCATTGAGTCTCTGTGGATGAGGCCGATGATGTGTAGTTCCTCCACGCAGCTTTGGTCACAGACCTAAATGAGCTCTGTCATGTGCCTGGGATCTTAAACTCTTAAGGCCTTCTCAGACACAAAAGTCTTTGAGCTCTCAACACTCCTCCTTTACACCCCTGCACTGTACTCCCTATTTCTGTCAAGAATGGTTATACTATCCCACTAAACCTTCCTTTGTTGAAAAATCAATGCTTGACGCTATGTCACTGTAACTAGATTAGGTCTCTTATAAAATACTTAAAAGGATAGGAAAACTATCCTTTAAAATTACTCCAACTTCTGTTCCTACATTATTTAGGCACAGTCACAAGGAGCCATTACCTTTAAAGTTGTCCCTGGTGCAAAGGACGAGGCATCTCTCAAGGAGCCACAGGTAGGTCCTGTCTTTCTCTGTTATTTGGTTTATCCACTTGTTAAGTGATTTAGACCCTTTGATAGTGGAAAGTCATTGAAAGACCATCTTGGCCATCACTTGCAGCGTTTACCATCGATTGCTGTAATCTTTTGAGAATAATCACTCTGAGCTTTGGTGAATCACCTTTAACCATGATGACAATGTTTTAGAAAGAAAACATTTTATATACAACATAGTGAACTTGTTCCTGTTGTGTCTTCAATCCTCCTCTTTGTTTTCTTGCCTTTCCCTCATGATGCTGTACAGATGTTTGTGAAGGCGCTCTTTGACTACGACCCAAAAGATGACAACACCATCCCATGTAAGGAAGCTGGTTTGGCCTTCAAAAAGGGTTGCATCCTACAGATCATGAGCCAAGATGATGCAACCTGGTGGCAGGCCAAACACGAGGGTGACACAAATCCTCGTGCTGGCTTAATACCATCCAAACAGTTCCAGGAGAGGTGAGAAACACAAGGCTGAGCTTATTGGCTCCAGTGCTGTCACTGTCATAGATGTTCTATCTTCTTTCTCTCCGTCTTTAATCCATGTATTCTTGCTTCACTCTGCCAAAGTAGTCTGGGTTTCCACACATTTTCTGGTCCAAAGTGAGTAATGACAGAAAATGATAGCGCTGGTACCAATCCACATTGAACTGCAAGTGGATGGAAAACACACACCAGACCTACACAGAGCTCAGGAGGCTTGAGCAGAAAGAGGAAGGCTGAAGAGTAAACCTGAATTTTATATTCAGGTTTATTAATCTACTTTTGTCAATAGAAAGATGTTCTGTTCTTCACCTCCTCAATCTTTGGTTTCACCAGTCTCAGCTGACAGAATAGAAATGAAGGGTATTGTAGAGCAGGGTTTCTGTAGCATAGCAGAGTGTTTATTATTCCCAGAGTGACCATGAAAACTGATGCTTTTCTTTTTTCTGTTCTTTCCTTTTTCTTCTTTCTTTATCCATCTTTTTGCTTTCAGGAGACTTGCATTTCAGCAACCTGTTACGACTCTTTCGTCCCTAAGGAGGTCTACTAGACGATCATGTAAGCATATATTATTTGCTGTGTTAGCGACTAATAAACCACAACAAGACAGTTGTCTTTAACAGGTGGATGGGAGGAAGAGAAGAATGGGAAAAGTGAGGAATGCTGGTCAGGACAGTTTGTGGAGTTCATTTCTGAAACAGACTCATCCTTCTGCTGATTCCACCACTGGAGTCTTTCGTGTAGTTGTGTAGTTCACGCTGGTCGTCTGGAGAAGCAATTTAGATTTATGTTTGTTTTCATTTTCCTTCCTGTCTGCTCAATGTTTCTCCCTCTAAATTTCTATCCAGAGTCTGTTCCATGTGTCTCCTACAGCCTCTTTGTGTGTTGTTCACTAAGTCCACAGCATGTCTTTTATCCTGTCTTCCTTTGCTCCCCCCAGCCGGTCACGGCAGATGGCCGCCCGTCCCTAAACCTGGTTCTGCCAGAGGTTTCTTCCTGTTAAAAGGGAGTTTTTCCTTCCCAATGTTACCAAAGTGCTTGCTCATAGGGGGTCATACGATTGTTGTTGTAGTCATGCAGGAGCTTTAATATGAATTAGGAGAGGGTTTGCCCTCTGGCTGTTACTCTACCTAAAGAGATGATTGATTTTCTAAAAGCTGTGCATAATGCAGATAGCAAAGATAAAAGACAAGTTCATGTGAACTGGTATTGTCACTTGGCTGCCTGGCTTCTAATTTGCATAATCACTTATACTCTTGGGGTGATGATGATGAGGGTAATAACAAGGATGGTTTTGATGGCGGCCTGTTATTCAGCAATTGTCCGTGATTGACTCCAACTGCAGAGTTCAACTCCTTATCATCACTGCCGGAAGAGAGAATGAAGACAAACAGTATTACAGTATTATTACATTATTACCCAGATTTTTCCAATGTAAACATTCCTGGCAGCTCACCCATGGACTTGATAAAGGTGGACTAATCATACATCTTTATGGCAGTTTTCATCACATTCTTTCTTTAAGGTTTAGTTTCAAATAAATTAGATAATTAAATCTGGCTAAACTCTTATTCACAGTACAGTAATTCTCATCCTTCTTAAAACCACATTTTGAGGTCGCTGTCCCCAACTTAAGATGCCACATTAGAGCAGGAAGAGGGCAACATCAGTGGGAAAACTGACCTGACCACTGACATTTGAAACAAGATGTCAGATAAAGGTACACACACTTCAGAACAGCTGCCGCTCTCGTGCCTGATGCGTCTAGCCTACACACAACCTTGCACAGATAGGTCTTGACTGTTGTTTTGGTTAGACATTAATTGTGGACATGCTGAACAACACTCTGGAAAATGAATGCAGTGATGTAAGGTGAGCTTCATACTGTTAAATACTTACAGAGGACTGTATCAGTATTACAATATCAATCATTTGGAGGCTTATGAATCTAAATGGCTTTTTCCCCCCCTGTAAATAGTGACTGCACCACAGACATGTACCGCAGATTGTGTATCACTAGGTAACAATGGATATACATTTCTATCAAAATAGGAGCAAATAGAAAGTAAATGTTTGTTATATTCTCATAAAACCTGAACTCAAGCTCCACTTACTGGTGTTTTTGTAACCTTTTAGAAGCAGCATGGCTTATGAAGGGTTTCTGTACGTGTTCTTTTTAAACCCAACCTTAAAAAAGAAAGAAGTTAAGGATAAGATTTCCTCAATGAGTTCCATCAATTTATGTCATGACAGCTGAGTGTACTGCAACTTCCTCTCAGGAAGACCTGACGAGTGTTTCAGAACCAAGTGGAACTTGAGTTATTTTATTATTTGGAACGTAGATAGTTAAACTAGTGATACCATTAGAGTGATACTGGGAGTTACTGTGTAGTGGTCAAGCTCGGTATTTTTCACAAACATTACAAAACTGAAGAGAATTGTTTGCTTTTTCAGTGTTTTGTGAGAAATGACTGAATTGAACCTGCATAGGATGTTTGTGGATGTGGCACTCAGCTTTAATATGTTTTATAATGTTCTCTCTGTTGTCTTTTGCTCTGCTTTTCTAAGATGATGTGACAGTAGAGTTTGGTAGGTTTCTTCTTATATTTCTTCCTCATCCCTGAGTTATGTTTACTTTCCTAATCTAATATTTTGTTTAGTATTACCTAATTTCCATTCCTTGCTTCTCTTGCACTCAAAGCTGAAGAGATTGAAGGTACTACTTTTCTGACATCCTCCACCGAGTAGGACTTTACTAACCCAACCATCTGTGATTGGTTCCCCTTCATGCTATTTGTGTGTAATGAGGTCCACTTCTTACCTCATCTCCCCAATTGACCCATTAAAGCTATTCACCATTTAAGAGTAACATCAGTTGTCACAGTCAATGGTTCCTCATAGATTTTATGGACTTTAACATTTTACAAAGCCTCATCTTTCCTCAACTCATTTTCATAAATGTGGACATCATTTTTGAGAATCATCCCGTCACAAGTAATATTTGTTGGACTCGGTCACAGCACAAACTGATTCACTGTCTCCAAGAATCGTCCAACACCACAGCCAAGAATGTAGTGGCCTGTAAGGCTAAATGGGGCTTAGTCAGTTAGCTGGGATCATCAACATTTTCAGCATTGTTAGTTCTGTAAAGAAAAAGAGAGTATTTTGTTTATTTTGGTCAACTTTAGCTGCTCACTAGATGGAGGTTATATGTAACCTGTCCTCGAATTTACCTCTACATGCGTGGCTGTCATTCTGGGCAAAAGGCCAATATTTAAAAATAACGAACACACTATAAAATGTAACTCAAGCAAAATTTACCCCAAACCACTCTGACCACTCTCTTCTTAACAGCACCTGTGTGTTTTTCCCTTTATCATATTTAGAGGGCCGCAGCTCATTTCTGACTGTTCTCTTTAACTTGATGTTGTGGTTCTCTTTGGCTCCTTTCTTTTCATCACCAGAGGATGCTGATTATAGTGGTGGATTTCACCTAGGTGAGAGATTGTCTTCTTTTGTCTTCTTGCCTTCTTTTCCTGCCAGATGTGGTCATTTCACTGTTACAATAAATATGAGGACAGTGGCCAAGTACAAGTTTTGTTTTTTCCACATGAATCCTTCATATATCATCTTCTAAGAACTATTAAGTCATACATGTTTCACGGGACGGAACAGTTGTTCATACCTTTGACCTGTTCTTCTAACTCACAGAGCACTTATGGGGCAAATAATTCACTTCTTAAACCTTCTTACATAATTCACTTTTTGGACTTTAATAGTTTTGTACTTTCTCACTGTGCTGTGCTATTTGTGCTCCCATGCTGACAGCATGAGTGCACTGGCAGATCATGTCATGGATTTGCAGTATGTAGTTATCCTGTTCTGCCTCTGCTGTGGGTCTGAGGACTTCTTTGAGAGGTTCTGGTTGGAGTTGGCTTAAAAGAAAGGTTTGTGTGCTTCGCTGCATTGTGGAGGTCCGGATGAAGGCCGGTCTTGCTGATGTGGTTCCAGTCAAACTTAATGACAATTACCATGGCCCACTTTAGTTCTGCAACCACTTTAATTCCAGAGAGCTGCTTCCAAATCCCTGTCTTGTACAGAAAATGTTTCCCATCATGTTTTTATTACCACTGTCATTTGCACATTTAGACTCCAGATTTCACAGGATATCCAGAGCACACGCAAGTTTATAAATACTACATTTGAGTCATGTCTGCCAAGCTCAATCAGGGTGACTCCCAAAGCCGAACTCTGCCAAACATTATTCCATTTTTTTGCCCAAAAAAGTCCAGCACCTTGAGTCCAGCAGCCAAGAACGAGGTTTAAATGAAATGAGAGAACCTCAGGAGAAGAAGTAAAAAATAGTGAGTTATAATAACATCTTCTCTATGAGAGTACTTGCTGCATGGCTTTTCAGCCTGTTGGATGTGGTTGTATGATTTAAAGTTGGCCTGTCCCTAAAAGTTTGAAATCTTAGAACTTACAGATGCTTTTGCAATGCTGCTGAGGTTGCATGGGGAAATAAAGGAGTGGGAGGGGGCGGCAGTCTTTCTCCTTATTTTTTGGGGGGGGTTTCTCTCCATGCCTCTCAATGATGCAACGTCTGTAAGGTCCATTGCCAGAGTGATTCTTGAGCACAACTTTGGGATGCTGATCCCAAAGTTGTGCTCATTTTACAGCCAGCAAACTTGAGAATGATATCTCCTTAGTAAGCACTGTTTAGAGGCTACTTCGTTACTGTACTTAGAACAGTAAATAGAACCTTCAGGTATCTGTACTTTACCTGAGTATTTACTCTTATTCTCTACATTTTTGCACAAATATCATTTTTAAAACAGGCTCGTTACTCTAGACTCAAAAGTATCAGCTGAAATTGAGTCGAAAAAAATGCGTTTGTCTGTATGTTTTAGTCAGGTTGTAGCTAGTGTTACAGAAGAGGAATGAGCATAAAGGGAGTAACCTTGCTTCACAACATAATGTTTCTACAACATTTCTATCAGCTCAACAAACATCAGCAGACTCAAGCTGTTTGTGTGCCGTTGGTCTCAGTGTGTTGCTAGTTAAAGGTCCAGCTGCTGTATTTCACAAGGAGAGAAAAGAAAGAGAGCTAGCTTCACTCAGAGACGGAGAAAGATAAGAAAGTCAGGTCAGGAGAGAAAGAGTAGAGATTCTTTTTAAAGCTGATCTCTGCTCTGGGACATTTAATGACCTGCAGATTTAAAGGTTACATGTCAAAATTTTTAATCACATATCACATATGTGTTTTGACAAATGATCTATTTTCATTGTGTGAGTATACTAACTTTGTGTTTCTATAATATCATGTTTGCAGAATAAACAGGTTAGCTTGCATTAATGTGGTGAAATCACAGTAAAGCTCTGTGTTGGGCTGATACAGAGCAGCTGTGGTGGTCAGTGTTAGGTTACATCAAGTGTAGAGATTAATTTACATTTAAGCTGATGACGCTTAGATTCATTCACTGATTTCAATCTTTACACCAACTTTCTGTTTTCATTTAACTGCTTGTTTGTGGAAGTAAAGTCACTTCCTGTATGTATCTGTGTGTAAGTGTGCGTCGTCCCAGCTTGTGTTAAATATGCTCATCTTTTTCCTTCACATTTTTGCACTTTTACTTTACTTTACTGAAGCGGCTTTGAATCAAAGTAGAGATCAGAACTTTGTGCCAGTTCCTTTCTTTTTACTAACTTGATCGTGTTTGGATCATCTTATGAGGCTTTCCATAACAAATGAGCAAGCTTCGTTTACCCATACCTGACTTGTTCTAAAATTTGGAGCACATTCATTGTCATCCTCTCTGTGTAATACAGTTTCCACTGGTATGGAAGACAGGATGGTTGTTGTTGTTGTTGTTGTTGTGTAATTAGTTACCTGTGTTATTTTAGTGAGTGTGTCAGTGGGTGCAAGAGGAGAGAGGGACTGTATTTTGGATGATGATAAACCTATGATGAGTTTTCACCTGTTTGATGTCACCTGGGGAAAGTAATGTGTGGAGGTGTTTGCCAAGATCCTGAAACAACTATAAATTGAAGTCCACAGTATTTGTATGTGTACATACGGTTGTGCTGGATTTTACACTACTGACAAAGAATTTTCTTTTTTTGTATTGATTAATCTGTTTCTTCTGTCTCCTCTTTTGGCTCATGCTGACCTCCAGCTGGGTTCAGGAGAAGCTTTCGCCTCAGCAGGAGAGACAGAAAGACCACCAAGTCCATGTACGAGGCGAAGAAGAGTGAAATGTACGACATGGCTGACGTGCCCACGTACGAGGAAGTCGTCCCGTACGGCAGGCAAAGGGGAGACAAACACAGGCTGGTGGTGCTAGTAGGTGAGTAAAGAGAAATTTAAGTTCTCAAACTCTGATGTCGCTGCTTACCTCACACACTGTTGCTGTTAGGATACCGAATTTAATGAAAATCCTCATTGTCACATAGAGACGACAGAAACAATAAAGGTGGCCCAGCTCTGCAAGAGAGAAGCTGAATATTATGTTTCTCTATCATCTGTTCCTAAGAAGTGAATATGAATAACCAGAAATTTATTTTTGCAGAAAAATAAGTGACTTTAGATCTTTTGGATACAAATTTTCATTAGTTCATCATTTGATCCTATTAGACATTTGAATTTATATTCTCATCATTAGTGTTTGAGGTCTTGAGTTAACCTCGGCAACTCTAACCACCAAGTACAGACGAAAGACAGTTTGAATGTCTCATATCATGTTATGGATGTGATAATAACGTGATGAGGAGTTTGGCAGAGTTTATAATTAGATGTTTGTGTGTAGGACCCACGGGTGTCGGCTTGAGTGAACTGAAGAAGAAACTGTTGATCTCTGACCCCCAGCACTTCAGTGTGACCATTCCGCGTAAGTGTCCTGTAAAAGAGACATTGGGTGTCAGTGTGACTACCTGTGTATATAAAGGTTAAATTAAAAAAAAGGAAAAAAGTTCACTTCACTCTTCTGATTTAAGCCCACCAAACTTTGGCTGAACAGTACAGTTCATTTGTCTTTCGCTCTGCATATTTCTTTGTTCTTATCTCTGCGTCTTATATGTGCATGTGTGTTTTATACTAGTTAATAGAATAGAAGTTAATTTGCTGACCATTAAATGTGGTGTTCCCAACAATCTCTTTTCTCTTTGTTTCATCCCAAAGAAACCTTTAAACATTTGTGTGCCGAAACTAAAGTTTCTGTCTTTCTTCTGTTCTGTGCTTTATCTTGAATTGAGGATGCAACATAAATGAAATAAAATAAAATGTAATAAAAACGTGGCTGTATTATTCTCACTGTTCTCACTATTTGAAATATTTCTTTACATAGAGAGATTTTTTTTAATTATTGAAAAAAAAAACTTTTATAACCAAGCTTTATGACTTTATTGTCGTCCCCCAGCCAAAGTCTGACACTTGAAATGTCCCCGGTATTAAAATCCCATTGGCGTGGCCTTTTTTTTCCACACAGCCTGTTAATTGTTCTCAAATGTGACCTGTGCTGCTGTTGTTTAATAGAGCCCAGACAGTCTGATTCAGACCCGTATAGGAAACGTATGGCACAGGTCCTGGCTCTCATTGAGAGGAAAGAGAATCGGAAAGTATCTCGTCTCGCTCTTTTTGAATGTTTGATCGCTGCCAGTGGACACATGGATATGTTTAACACTTGCTGTTGTTTCGGGTTAAGCCCGAAAGTGTTGCTTCTTTTTGTTAATTTGAAAACCGGAGCTTTGGAGACCACCAGCTCTCTCTGTGTCTCTCTGCTTGTTGCTGTAAGATAAAACCAGTTGTGGGAGAAACACAAGGAGCATTGCAATGACTCACAGGCATCACTCCCTCTCTTTCCATCTTCATCTTCTTTCACTCAGACACCAGTCGACCCAAGAAGAACCAGGAGACCGATGGTGTGGATTACCACTTCATCTCCAAGCAGCTCTTTGAGACGGACATCCAAAACAACAAGTAAGCAAAACTGATGAATTCAATCACAACACACATTCAGACTTTATGCATCTTAAAAGCACAAATTAACATATCTAATACAGTGGAAAAAGGTTTGTTTGTTTTATGTAAACTAGTTTAAAAATGTCCTCCTGATGCTCATTTCAAGGTCTATATTTTCTTTCTTGGACAATATATGCAGTTAAAAATAATCCTTGTCTCATCACAGTCTAAAAGAACCTCTTTTAGCTCAGGTACAAGGCCTGAGGCTTTAACTCAGATTACAGTAATTACTCTTCTAAAAACTGACATAATTATTTGTCCATGCGTCCATCCAAAGATGTGCGTTCGTGCTTTTTCTCATCACTCTTCTTTTCATGTCTCAGGTTCATTGAGCATGGCGAGTACAAAGGGAATTTCTACGGCACAAGTCTGGACTCGATACGTTCAATCCTGTCAAAGAAGAAAGTGTGCCTGCTGGATGTCCAGCCTCATGTGAGTGACACATTCTTTCTCACCATCCCGGTACTGTATTCTTAGCCTGTTTTGGAAACTACCTGTCTCAGAAGCAGATCGCCCTGTTACTTTATTTGAAGATTTCCTCTTTGGCTTATGTCACCATAAACCTCTACAGTAATGCCATTTCTCAGTTATTGACCAACTGAGTGAATGATGGAAGCTGTTTCCCAGTGGTTCCGCTGCTGCCTCTCCATTAAGTTTTTTATCCATCTTGTTGTGAGTTGTGGGTCTTGACCCACTGCTATTAGCACAGCAAGAAGGTCAGATGATCATGCCAGAACCAGACACCACCTCTAATCAAATCTCATCTCTCTCATACCTCTGAAGGGCCTTTCACATTGGGCGCACCTACCGCGAGCTGGAGTGAGTGGCCTAAAATTTGTCTTGCAGTGGTTGTTGCGCTCTTGTACGTCGAAAACTCGATGGACCAGCTATTTCTCATCCATAAAAAAGAAAGTTTTGGCACTGTCCCCACAAGTGAACACGTGTGTTGTTTCCTCCCAAAGTCTCAGTATGCATGTCAACTTGTGTCATGAAGTTTGTTGAACTCGGAAACACACACAATCAACTTTTCCTCCATGTTTTCATTCATTGTGTGGTTGAACTTAGTAGGGCTGTTTGCTTCGTTTCTGTTGGTCGTGCGAAGGTACGTCAAAGTTTAACCAAGTTTAACCCAGTTAAACGTTGACCCTTGCATGCAAGAGTACTCTCACCGGCGCACTTGCTCTTTAAAACTGTTATTGAGTGGCACAAGCAATAGAAACAAATAGGTTTCAGAGCTCTGCACTTGCCATATCCTATGTGAAAGGCCCTTGAGGTACCAGATTGGCATGTTATTTCAGAAAACTGTCACCACAAAGAAGAGACAGACACAAAGATCAGGCATAAATAAAAACATATATATCCTCCACTATCTTCCAAAAGAATTTAAAAGCTGTGATGAGTTAGTGTGAGTAATCTTTATCCCTCAGATTGGTGTTTATGAGTCATTTTTAAATGGCAAAAACTATAAACATGATTTCAAAGTTCTAGATTTACTCAGAATGATGGGAAGTCATCTGCTCTGTGGTCATTATTAATTGTTCTGTCCAACTAATAAGTCATTTATGCAAAGACTTCTTCATTCTAGAGAGGTCAATAAGTTAAAAGGTAATTTAAGATTTAATGCTTCAGCAAAACAGAAATATATTTGGTTTACAATGAGAGAATGGAGGAAAAGCCTCAACTTTTCATGTCTGAGGAACTTAAGGCAGAAAATGTCTTTGCTTAGAAATAGAAGAAAGATTTTAATTTTTAATATCTCCTCGATTGGAAATCAGCAGACTGAATCTGTTAAACTGGACTTTGTGACAACCCCATAATCCAGTTCATATCACTATTACAAGTGGACCATGAATTGGCAACCTTTTTTTTTTTACAGGATTATATTTTTAAACGTTTTGTCTATTAATTTTTTCACAGTCTGTTTATACCATACGTGACACACTTTGTGATTACGTCTTAATGTGCTGCCACATGCCTAACTCCTTTTTCTCTGCATCCACTTTTATTCTTTTCAGCTAATAAAGCATCTTCGAACAGCAGAGTTTAAACCTTTCGTTGTGTTCGTGAAGCCCCCGACCGTCGACAGACTGAGAGAGACCAGAAAGAAAACCCAAATTATATCAGGCAAAGACGACAAGGACTCCACCAAACCCTTCACGGTAAAAACTTATTGTTTAACTTCAAACTTTGAAATCTGAAGCTTAGATTTGAAGAGCTTAATACAGAGTCCTTCTGTTGACACTGACAGGGAATTACTACTGTGTAGCTAAGCATTTCTAGTGTGTGGGTTGTACATGGCTGATAGTTTATATCGTATGTTAACCAGATATTACCTCCCTGCTTAAGTTGAGATAGAAAAGCAAGAGGAAATTGTTACTGTGTAACTGTGACTTGGTCGGGTTTAAATGTATCTTTCTCTCTGTCCACACGACCTGTTTTATGTGATTTGTTCTGATGTATTTTTTGCCTGAGGTACATTGTGGTGCTTGGTTGATTCAAACAGATGTTTTCAAAGTGCAGCCTTGGGGCAAATGGCCGTTCTGAAGACCAACAAGGAACGAATACAATCCTGTACATTTCATTCAAGCATGGTTCACGTGATACTGTGAAATAAAAATATTTCTCTTCAGTTTCAACAGCTCTATTTGAGCTAATATAGCAGTTAAACCTTCCTAAAGTTGTCAAATCAAGCATAGCATTACTTCAGGCAGGACATGCAGTCAAATTAAGCTGCAATTCCAGCAGATTAGCTGATCTTAATTCCACATCAGTTGATGACTCCACTGATACATTTCTAGTCATAGCTCTATCAACTCTATACTGACACCAGAATGGACCATAGAGAAATTACAAACTGGTACAAATTAATTTCCCGAACACACCCCCATAAAAATTAAAAGCCTGGTAGTCAGACCCGATCTGAAATGACCTGAAAATAAGCAGTCTCTGGCAATTATATTACGATGAACTACAAGTCACACACATGCAATCTGCAGTGATACAGTCACAGGACTTTAGTTGACCTCTGTAGAACAACTGGCAATATTTCAGGGCTTCTGGTATATGCAGCAGGCATCTGAGCCAAAGGGGTCATTGTTTATGAATTTAGAAAACTTTTGAAAGCTAATAAAAAGCTAATTTGTCATCAGTCGATAGCCAGTGGTTTCATTTCCACATGTGTTGATTTACCTTTAACTCACATGTCAAATAAGAAGGTCAAACATTACTCTGTTTAAAAAAGTTACAACACATATGCCCAGAGCTGATAGTTAGTCAAGTCATATTCACACAAAATATAATAGGATCCGACTTATTGAGGCATAATTTAGTGCATTTATGGGTAATAAGTGTTGAGGAAAATGCTAGAGCACAATACACTTTCACCTAGAACATGCAGCGAATTTATGGTTGAAGGTCAGCTTGTTAAACCTTGATACAGACACAGCATCAGCTTATATTACTCACACAGGTAAACATAATTCTGTCTCAGTCCGCTCCTTATTTCCCAGCTGGGTCTTGAGAACAATAAGCTTTAGTTGTCAGAAGCAATCTGGTTGTGAACAGTCTGTTGCAGTTTTAACGTCCCTTTATTAGCTTCTGTTATTCTCTCATGTAATACAAATATACTTCTATAAAGCTGTGTGACAGCGGGCTGTATTTCAACCAGGTAACAAACAAAGTCTCTGTGTAAATGTTCATGTACACTGACAGAACCAAACCCATCTCATATTTACTATTAAATGAAGGGAAGCTGTTGTTGGGCAAGTCGTCCCAGACATTTTCAATCCACCGCCAGCTGTATTTTTCTTTGCAAGAGACAGGTCTGCTTTAATGATAAAGGCCGAGGAACAGTCGTCTCATTGTTTCAGTCGAGCTGGCTGGAAGCGTGATGTGAATACAAGCAAAACAATCTGATGTAATGCAAAATCCCAGCTGTAATGTGGTTAGCATAGAAACTGGCACCCAATCTGAAAGAACCACAGGCATTTCAAAGTGATTTGAGGAAATCTCTTTGGTTTCTGACACTTTTTTAAAACTCAAAGACAGGTGGGTTTTATTGGCACAACAAAGCAGGTGTCCAGCAGAGAACGTGGTTGCTTGTAAAAGAGGATACTGAGGCTGACACGTGCTGCTTCATGCCACTGAAGTGCTGTAAAGATTTATAGTCCTGTAAGGTAAAAGCAACAAACATATAAAGGCTACAAATAAAAGAATTACAATAAAAACAGCGGGAACGTTCACCTAAACTGTGACTCAGTATTTTGTTGCTGTGCAATGAAATTTATCTATGCTGTTACAAAGTACTTAAACAGGCACAAGATGCTACATAACTTCTTGTGGAAATTAGGCCACCTAGTGGGAATAAATGAGTCCCGGGTGTGCTTTTTCTCAAGTTTGGTCCCCCAGAAGAGGCATCATCCTAAACCAATCTTTTCTTTTTAAGTTCTCTGATTTTCTATTCATCTTCCAAACCCAGCTTGCTGTTCCTTAAACGGCTTCCTGCTCAGATTAATGTTCTTTTTACCTGGTAGACAGCTGGGCAGACAAAAACACAGCTAATCCATTATGAAGCAGAAACCACCAGAAACATTCTGAAGGAACTGCTGGCAAAAGTCCCTGTAAGAGACAGCTTCATCATGACAATGTGTAAAAGCAAAGCTGTCAATTCATCCGTGGATCTATGTCCCTCCCCTCATCTATGGTCATGAACTTTGGGTAGTGATTGAAAGAACGAGATCGCAGATACAAGCAGCGAAAATGAGCTAAACTCTAATTTAAAGTTAAGTGTTCCCAGTAAAAACACAGCACCCTAACCCACCAAGAGATACCTGGGCTCATTTAGAAAGGCAGTATTTACTTGAATGATAAATGATAAAATAAGTTCTCCAAAAGTTGATTCTGTTCATCTGGACGTAGCGTTCTCAGTCGGAGAAACGTTTCATCAGTCACTTGGATGACCTACGAAAGAGATTTTATTCGTTTTGTGTTTTTAACTTCCATCTCTTTTGTCTCTTCCCTCTTTTCCCAGGAGGAAGACTTTCAGGAGATGGTGAACACGGCCCAGACAATGGAGACTCAGTACAGCCATCTCTTTGAGATGGTTATAGTCAACGACAACGTCGATGTTGCCTTCAGCGAGCTGCAGTTGGCACTAAAGAAAGTGGAGACAGAGACACACTGGATTCCAGTCAGCTGGACTCACTCCTGAGAGACATACTGACTGTAAAAGGAGAAAAGGGAAGCGCTTTGACAAAAATATGCAGGTTTTCTATCTTTTTTTAAAAAAATATTTGCCAGGGACGGTGTTGGGAAGTAAATCAGGAATAAAACAGTGCCTGGCTGCTGTGTCGCCATACCTGAACTGCATCGAGCTAAAAATAAGCTTCTGCCTGGGATCAGGTTGGATTTAGACCTCAGCTGTGGTCTGGAAGCTCCAGGTCTGACCAGATGTGATTGGGTTGTGGCTGCAGGCTTCTTTCTCGAATCTAAGACTTTGACATTGATCAGGGTCTCAGTCTGGGTCACACATCCATGGCCACAACTTGGAGCGCCTTGGTCCAAACCAGAATGTGGAGCGAGCTTGGAGCATCTTAGCACCAGCAGTCCTGCCAGCACATCAGTAAACCGGCCAAACAGGACTCCTTTAGTGGTTTTATAACATTAGACCATTAGAAACCAAAGGGATTGATGTATTTCTTCTTCGTGGACAGCTTACATGTGTTTGTCTGTAAAAGAGCACAGCACCAGGGAAAAGAGGAGAAAGGAAAACATACTTGCCTTCTGTCTTAGACTTTTGTACATCTAAAATCTTCCATGACTGTTATTCCAAGCGAAACACTGTCAGGTACACTTTTGAGAAAGGGCAATAAGTGTAATTTTATTTAAAAGAAATTAATATATTTTCTAATATCTGCTTGTAGTCCTTTTTATGCATTTTATATACATTTATGACTTTAATATGATCTTAGCTGTAGCCCTCTCTGTGACAGCCTCTTTTTACTAGAAGCATTTTTTTCTCTCAATCTAGCATTTTTTTGTTCGTCACCCTAGTTTAGTTTTTTGGCTCTGTCAGCTCTATTTGGCTTTATTTGGCTCTATTATCAGCACTGCTACAATTCTCCTAGCTCCAGATTTTGCTCTCTTGTTGATTCTGGGACAAGCTGACCTCCTTTAAATTAAGGGGAGACTATAATTCCAGCTACATTTTTATTCACCAGAATTCACACAAAAACAATCCATATTTTATTTATTTATGCTTTGGGCTGTTGTTTTGTTTTGTTTTTTAACTTCCTGCTCCTTAAAAGTATACTTTCTTCTGATTGGTTGCCCCTCACCTAGCCTCTGCAAACAGAAACTAGTGCTCGTATGCACTGCCTCCCAGAGATGACCTTTTGCATATTTAGCAGTGTTTAATATCTGCTTAGTATATGACAAAATACAAGCCAATGGATAAGTTGTCCTTTATACATGGAGGTAGAGCGCTAGGATAGTTGGAGACTGGAAACAATTAGGAGGAGCTAGCCTATGTCTGCTAGTCTTTCTGAACTTGTGATTTTAGTACATTGTTCATCCCTATTAATAACAGTTAGTTCATATTGAATTCATCTCTTAATTTCTGTGCTTGCTCGGCTGATTGCCTCCAATCTCTAGCTGCATTTAAAACTCTAAGAGTGCTATCAGTCTTCCAAAGTCTCAGTAAAAAAAAGCATTAAGCATATTATCCAAACTGTCTAAATGATTCCTTAAACTCAATATTTATTCTTTTTTTCTTTACTCTAAGAATACTCTCTTACTCTGCTGAATGTCCAGCTCAGGTTGTATGTTTCCAAATTGTGCATCATTTATTTCTCCCTTTCCACCAACTGTGACATATACAAACTTGATTTGTGTCCTTTTTTTAAGTGTAAGCATGATTGGTTATACTGCTCTGATGTAATATGATTTAAATGTCTTTAACACTCTTGTCTGCCATACTTTGTCCCAACATTTTTTTGTCTTTTTGTTTATTCAGTTTTTCTACCTCCCCACCCCCCTGCTGCCCATCTTACAGATCAAAGTCACATTTGTACAGTCTCCAGAAAATACCTTTTTAATGTCTCCCTGTAATGATATACTCTTTAAGTGGCACATTGTATGAATTTACATTATTCTTGATAACTGCTGCATTTTTTATTAAAGAAAATACGACTAAACTTGTAATTGCAATGTCCCCAAATTAATTCATATATGTTGTTAGCCAAGCAAAGAGTGAACACAACCTTATGTTTACCAGCACAATCCCTACTTCTCTTTAGCAAAATGTTGCATATTTTGTGAATAAAGGTAATGAACAGGTGGAGGTGGTGAAGGGGGAGGATTTAGCCGCCCTCCGCTTGATGTTCAAAAGAAATCCTTTACAGATCAAAATCAGGTTGACTTACCCAAACATTTTGTCCCTTCCATGGTGCTCACTTTGAGAGTAGAGCAGAGCAAAGGAGAGTTAATGGTGTTGGGCAGAGAGGTGTTAGGTGGGGGAAGAGGAGGAGAAGGCACTTACTCAGTTAGTCCACACATTGCTGCTGATGTCTTTCACTCATTCCTGCTTCATAATTAGGATACTAGAGTAAAGGGGGACACAAAATGGCTGCTTTCACATACAGTAATGTGGCACTAACCCTCCACACTCCCAAGGCTGTACGCACAAGTTAATGAATGGGCAAATAAGTTTTTCCCCCCCCCCAAAAGCAATCAAGGTCAGTGGCTTATTTTTAATATGCGGAGATGTACTGGGTACTGGCAACAGCACCTCCAGGCTGTCTAAAGCTTGCACAGTGATGGGTTTAGGAGGTGCTAAGTAAGTGTATTTGACCAAATTTTCTCTTAAATTGTTAAAACCACAAGTGGTCCGGTGCTTTGCATCTTTTAAGGAAGACACTCTAGCCCTCCTGTTGTCCTCATGTCCTGTACAGGACAAAAATGACCCAACCTCACTAAAAATCTAAAATCTGAAGAACCTTTACCCACTTGTCCCACACCTCTGTTATGGGAGCTATGTCTTGATGCATGTTCAGTCATCCAAGTAAGTAAATCCCCAAAAGTTCTGTTCATCTGGACGTAGCGTCTTCAGTGGGAGGAACATTTTGTCACTCCTCTAAGTGACGACTTTGAGTCTCAGCTGACTGCAGGATTTTCACAACCTTATAAACAGTACCTTTGCACAATGACTGAAACTAGCCCACTGAATGAACAATGGGCTGTGAGGTCGTTCCATAATGATTATAATATATGGAACTCGACCTCACAGCCCATTGTTCTATTCAGTGGTGCTAGTTTAAGGCAGCTAGTTTGTCATCACACATATTGCAGGTCTTGACTCGAGGTTATCAAACTGTATAATCCTTGAGAAAGTGTGACAAATTTTCAGTCAGGAAAGCGATTCCGCTCCCTGAAGACCAACACAGAGAGACTGAGGAGGAGCTTCTTTCCGCAGTCTCTCAATCACATCACCACATAGTACTGACCCACACATATGGTTCATTCTGGACATTTGTTTACACTAGTGGCTTTACACTGTCACACAAACTACACTGCGTGGTCATCTAATCAAATCACTCTTAGTCACAAGTCACTTAAATAAATCACTTTTAAGCATATTTGCACTGCACAAGACACTTAAATATGTGGATTGCACAACCCTGGACATTACATTTCTTTCATTACCATTTATTACTTGTACAGCTGCTCTTATTGTTCTATATTTCTTCATATATTCTTATATATTTTCTATATTGTGTATTTTGTTGTACAGTTATTTTATTTTTAACTTTTTTTTTTTTTTTAAATTTTCATATTTATTTCCTATCCTATTCATAGTCTTTTATTTTAGGACCACGAGCAGTTGTCTAAGCATTTCACTGCATATCGTGCTGTGTATGACTGTGTATGTGACAAATAAAATTTGAATTTGAATACAGTAAGTGATTGGGTCGCAGGACATGACTTGTAGGCTCATCATGGCACCGGACACCGGTACCCATCCCTATCAATAAGTGACAACAACAACACTTGACACCACCTTTCTTCTTCTTCTTCTTCTTCTTCTGTATATATAAAAAGTCGTTTTCTATCGTCATGTGTCAACTGAAACAATTGGTTTTGTGAATTTTGACTTAACTCGATTGCCGTTTCGTTTACCAGTGTCATGGCAACAAATGTGGGAGGGGCACTTACTAGAGCCGATAGTGGTCTTGTTTCTATGGACACTGTGGTTGACTAGCTATCAGTAAAGGTGTTGTAAAGCAAGTTAAAATACACGGTAAGTTTGTACTAATACAGATAAAAAACAGATAGTCATAACTTCATGACAGACAGCGGAAGAGACTTGCTTCATGGTGAATTAATGAGGAATACCTCGGTGTGGTTTCAGTTGTTGTATCTAATATTAGCTGAAGACCATCGGCTTTTCTAATAACGGGACTCTGTAGCATAAAAATACGCTTAACTGTAGTCACTCCTGTCCCAAGAAAGTGTGCTGGTGCTCTTCACAGTCTCGTTAACGCCGTTATTATAATACATTACTTGTTTATTTTTGCATTGCTGTCCTCTAGCGAGTTTTGATTGTTGGATATGTCTTTCTTTTGTTAAAGTTCTGCAGCTAACACAGACGTAAGGGTCTGGCTCTCTAGATTTTATTCAGCTATAATAATGATGGGAGGAGGGAGGGGATTATATAGTGTATATAGTACATGCCATTTATTTGAATGACCCACTATGGCCATCATGATACCAGTGCAAGCATCTGTCTTCTTTTTTTTTTTAAATTATCCATGAATCCATCCAGAAATATTTATTTATTTCCCGTCATATCCAACAAGCAAACCAAGACTTAAAAGGCTGTTTTAAATGGTTCCTTTGTTAATGTTAAGTTTTAGAGTATCCCAGACACAGCGATGGGGATATCATTGACCAGGGCTGCCCAGTGGACCATGGTCAGCTCCAGTACTGCAAAGCTGGCATCCACACCAATGAATGAGTCCTTGTTGAAAGAAATCCTGCACTTTGTGGAGCGCTTTAGTTCCCAACACCTACAGGAAGCTGAACATGTGTTTGAGGAGCCACTCCAGTGGAGTACCACTTTGGTGGCGTCTGATTTCAAAACAGACTACGACATCAGGTTGGTCTAATCATGAAGCGGGCAGCTGGCTGGCTCTCAGTATTATGTGTCTGTGCAGGATTTGCTGTCACCATGGTGTCCAAATGTTTTTACCTTAGACATACTCAAAGCTGCATGTGGACTGTAA